AGTCAGGACATGCTATATTGTATCTAGATAGAAGCTAGTGAGCTAACTTCCTGCTAACTTCTAACTCAGTTAAATATCATAAATTTGATTTTATTTATTCTTGTGTGGCAGCTATTTACTGACTTTAAGAAGTTATTTGAAATTGTGTCATTTCATGAATAACAGTTATTTTCCATGAAAACTAAAAATGGTTAAAATCTCAATAAAAATTAACGAGAAATACATGCAATTTTGCAGTTTTTTGGCTCAACATGTCGTTTTGAGGTTAGGGGTGCCATTGGGTCATGGTTAGGTTTTTGGGTAAGGGTTAGGGTTAGGCATTGATTTCTGATGGTTGGTTAAGGGGCATTATGTCAATTCAGTGTCCTCACTAAGATGTGAAAACGAACGTGTGTGTGTGTCTGTGTGAAGTTCTGATGTGAATCTGAAAAACACAATTTTGAAAACACTGGAAAGACCTGAAGACACTTTTTCCTTTTCTTTCTATGCAAACAAAAATTCCCACTGAGGCTTTTCAGTGTGAAATTTTGTTTGTATAGAAAATACCTGTGCCATTTGTCTCTGTTGCCATCTACTGGTGAACATCACCTTAACACTACATCAGGTGAGATTTTCACTCTGCACAGCAACACAAAACTCTTTTAACAACACAAACAAACAACAAAATTAATACATTTTAAAATGATGTAGACAGCTCAAGATAATGTTAACAAAGACTCAGTGAAAACTGAAGTTTATCTTAATCCTTAAAATATGCAGGGAATCACAGTTGCTTATGTCCAGCATCACTCTGTTATTATAAAATTTATCTAAAACGTGGCCAGTTTAATGTCTTAAACTGAAATCACATTAAAGTTTTGATCAACTAAAATCCAGCTGATTTTTTACCCAAAAAGTTAGATGCGACATATTAAAAAGTGGGCAGGACAAGGATTAAAGGTATACTGTACATTTTATGATAAGGGAACTCTTAGGGACTTCCAGTCAATAAAAGATCAATGCCAGTTAAGCAATAGTGATTTTTTTTAGGTTTCTCCAAATCCAGCATCATCTACATAACTTTATACCCAAGAGAATAGATCTTTTCTCTCTTCCTGTTCTGAATATATTTGTTAAGGCATACTATGCGGATCCTGGTCTCAAAGTGATTTCTAGACTGTACAAGTGTTTACAGGAAGTTAAGAATATGAATACAATTTACATCAAACAGAAATGGGAAAGGGAAACAAATATGGTAATTTCAAATGACACTTGGTATCAGCAATGTGCTCCGTTATACGGCATTTTGACTCTGTCTGCCCGAAAGACTAAATGGCTCGGTGTAAAAATTCCATCACTAAATGACATGAAGTTGTGTATCGGTTGTTTAAAATGGAAAAAATTACATTCTCTAACAGATTTCAATATGACACATTTGTTGAAATTTGGGACATATGGAAACATTACATTTAGTCAAGGCGTCCCGAACTTGTATGAACCTCCATATTCCAGTATCTTATATTTTTGAATTGTTATGTATATATGTTAACTAGTAGGTACATCCCTTGCTTTTTGTGTTTGTTTGTTTGTTTGTTTATTCTTGTTGTACATGTTGTGTTTTATGTTCCCTATTTTAAAAAATGTATATTTAACAAAAGGTCGACATACTGAAAAGTGACTTTCACACACTTTAGAATTGTGCCTGTAACTCTGTTTTTGCCTTATGTTTCAATAAATTGCTGCACATATTAAAAATAATAATAATTTAAAAAAAAAACTAAAACTGAGTCAGCACCAAAAAAACCTCGTATCTTTTAAGAATTTGTCCATAAACAGTAGCGTTGCTCTTGAAATACTGGGGCTAAATCCAGACCTGAAATCTATGGAATTTTCAGTCAATACAGTATACTATTATTGTATTTAATAGTAAAATTTATGTAAAATGTCAAACATTATATGCTACCTAAAGGTTGACGTCACAGAATGATACTGAAATAAACAATCAATGTAATTTGAGTTTGTTGTTTGTTGCTAAAGTAAAACTTTTGATGAAGCTCTGGTGATAGAGCTTGTGCCTTTATTGTGCCATAATGTCTCCTTTTAAACTGTCCTCTTGCTCGTCTTTAGGATGCTACCTTCTTCACCTTTCCTGTTCCTTTCACTAAACTGCTCACTCTTGTTCTCCCTGCTCTCACTTCCTGTTCTGTTTAGTCAGCATGTGTCAAAGAAACTCCCCCCAAAACTATCATTTTTTGATATGATTATTAGATATTTAACATGTTATTTATCAACTTATTTTATGCACTGAATCAATGAATTATTAAACAAATACCATACTGTAGAAAATCAAATTATTAATGCACTAAGCCAGCGGTCCCCAACCCCGGGCCTCGGACCGGTACCGGTCCGTGAGTCGTTTGGTACCGGGCCGCGAGAGTTGAGGCTCGGGTGTGAAATGTATGATTTTCAGGGTTTTTACCGGTTTTTAGAGTTATTTTGTTATCGTTTTTATTGTTAACTCGGTTTTCCTGGGTCTTTTCCCATGTGTTATGAATAAATCTTATTTTTTTCGGTACTAATACTAGTTTTATTTTGTTGTATTTATCCGCGACACCTTAAAGGCCGGTCCGGGAAAATATTGTGGCGCAAAAAAGATTGGGGACCGCTGCACGAAGCAATTTCCTGCCACAACAGCTAAATGGTCCTCAAAGAAAATACTGAATGCCTGCACAGGCCAGTATTTAATGCAGCCACAGATCTACATCAGTCAGCATTCTGCTCTTTCCACCTCATGACGTCTGTCTAAACAGTCATGTCACTTTCTCATGTGAGTGACTTCTTCAGTCTCAGCTGACTGCAGGTTTCCACAATCTCATAAACAGTACATTTGCACAATGACTGACACAAACAATGTGCTGTGAGGTCAGTTTCATGACCATTAATATGCAAATTGTCATGACCATTGATCAATGGCCATTCGCAGAGAGTTGGGAAATGGCTGCAATCACAGCATTGTAAGATGGTAAAAGATGCACCGTTAGGCTATCTGGCTAAGTGGATGGGACAACACAGAAGAGCTAACTCATCAGGCAGTTTATTTATGCCTACAGGCATGATGAAGACATGCTGGACAGGGAGGAGCGCTGGTTTGAGTGCAGAGTCAAAGAGGCCATTTACGTGAAAAGGGAAAGACCATCTCTGAATCGAGGAGGGGGCCTAAGGGAATCATAATGGGCATGGTTTTTTGTCTGACTGGTATTCTTGGTCTTCTTGAAGCTTTGTTTGATTTCATGAGGCTGTCTTGAACATGTCTACATGCCTAAATGCTTTGTATTGCGGACTCACAATTGGTTAATTTGATATTTGCATTATTGAGCAGTTGAACAGGTATACCTAATAAAGTGGCTGCTGAATGTATGTAATATGACTTTGCTGGACCATACAGTAGTCGGTGCTATGCTGTCAGGTTGTATATATTTTCTTTGTCTTGTTTCTGATCTGTATGTTTTCATGAGTTTTATTTTGCTTTTCTCCATTTCAGCAATTTTTCACATAAATCCGTCACATGTGATTTTTCTGTCTGGACCCTTTTTACAGAGTTTTGCAGAAATCTTTGCAAAATCAGTAAGATTTTGTAAAGGTAAAGTAAAAATCAATTTAATGTCCAAGTCTTAAAAAGGTGGTGAAAGATTGTTACTCATTAATCACAGAGTTGAAGTGATTGACTGACTGGCACATTTGACAAATGTGAAAAACGTTTTGATTCTTGTCCTGTCTTTAGTACAGGTGAGTCTGTGTCATAAAACTATTTTGAGAACTACATGAAGTGC